GTATATATATATATATATATATATATATATATATACAATGTGTTTCAAATCTGCTGAGAAAAGAAAAGTACACCTTCCATCGTTATTAAAGTGGCAGCAACACCTATATATACATTTTTCAATTGTTTCTTATAACCTGTTATAAGTAACTAATTGGATTAATATATAGCTTGCATAATTAATCTACCTGAGGTTCTGCTTTCAACTTCAAAGCTTCGAACATTCCATTGGCCAGTGAGGGTTCGCCGTTAGGGGGGAGACGCATCGTTATGCCATCAACAGTTGACACATGTTTTCCGTTGAAAACTTCCATATCACATCAAAACATAGCCAATGAAGTTTACTGTATATCACTAAATCGTATTGACTGTCATGGATTCAAACCAAAGGCCAGGTCTTATTTGGTCTTCGTCCTGTGGGTGTAAAAAATAAAAAAAGCGCTCACAACTGACGTTTATACGAAACGTTAAAACTGAAATAATGCAGTTCAAAAATATAATGATACTTAATACAATAATGATAAATAAAATAATTACAGCTATAAATCTAAACCAGTTAAGTTCAGAAAGTTAGTTTTTTGTGATGATCACAAAGCTACACAATGGGCTACATGTGATATGCCGACTGAGGGGGGTTGAGCCCCAAAATTTTAGCATTATAATATCTCAAGCTGATCTGCCTAGTGGTCCTGCATGGGCAGGTGGTTAGGCCGCTCGACTCTCAATCTGCGGGTCGCGGATTCGAATCCCCGTCCCACCAAACATGCTCACCCTTTCAAACGTGGGGGCGTTATAAAGTGACGGTCAATCCCACGTTGATAAAAGGGTAGCCCAAAATTTGGCAGTGGGTGGTGATGACTAGCTTCCTTCCCTCTAGTCTTTCACTGCTAAATTAGGGAAGGTTAGCGCAGATAGCCCTCGTGTAGCTTTGCGTGAAACAAACAAACAAACAATGAGCCGCCTAGTACAAAAATCGGCATCTGTCTAATGGCAATAATATTTTTAAAAAGATCTGAAGTCATTTGGTGAAATTATTCATGTTTTTGTATATTCAACTGAAAGTTTTAACACTGTAGTAAATTTATTCTATTACATAATATTTTCGAACGTTAGAGTCAGAGTATGAATAAAATAAGAAAATAAAAACTTGTTTCCAGCACCATTAGATCTTGTGGTTAACAAGAGTCAAAAGAAAAGGTGAAGAACACTTACCTAGCATTTAGCAATATGAAGAGATATCATTGATACGCGTTTCTTTCAACCACTAATAAACTCTAGGGTCCATTCACTTTTTTTGTCATAGAAGGATGGACGCTTTGTGGAAACGCCATTTTTCATTTTCTTATCTGTAATGTTCTTATCTGTCTTAAATAGTAGTTTTTGTAAGGTCTGAATTTTGCTGATTATCTACACGTTGGATAACCCTATACATGTAGTCTAGTCATTATTTCCTATAGTTTAATCATCCTTTCAACATTTACTGATTATATCAAACAGAGGTGTGGTTAATAAAAAAAATTCCCAGATATTTCTCTGAAATCAAAATATCATCAAAAACATTCTGATAAACGTTTAACATAGTGGCTTCGAAACAAAGTTATTTTCCGTATTATTGATTAATATTATTTTTTTTTCAAACATTTAAACATTTTCAAACATTAAATAAGTATTTTGTACAGTTTTTATTATAATGACTGTCACTTTTTACCTTTTTTAACTTTTAAAAGCAAGTTTAACGTTTAGAGTTGAATCATCTTAAAATATGTTTGGTATGGCAGAGTAGATGCAGTTAACATTTTTTCAACACACTAAAAACTGTAAGGCCATGTAGTTATTTCCAAAATGTTTATCGAACACACCAAAAACTTCGAGTTCGAGGAATTTTTTTTATAGTTAACATATTTTAATTTATATTTTCCTTATCGTTGTATTTTAATTAACTGTTGTCGGAAACTTACAAAACATTATATATTTGTTCTATTTAACTTTCGAAATTTATTACGATGAAGACGGAAAAGTTAGCAGTGCAGAGAAATATGTTATGTACAAATGAGGACAATTATATCAAACCTGCGAATATTTAACAAATATACTATAAAAGAACCTTTAATATATTTCTTAAAGGTATTTTTTTATTCCTTCACCATTGACGGCAAGCTGGAATACAAAGTTAAGCCTATATTGATAAGTTGAAGAATTTACCTGTAAACCTGTTACAGGTAGCGTAAAAACACACTACATATATAAATCTACAAGCGTTTCTCTTCCAAGCACATTGTACAAATATCAAAATTATATAGAAACATCTATAAAATGAGAGAGAAATGTCTTAGGTACAGTACAAAACCATCACTGAGTGTATGTAAAATATCTTCGCCATCAACAATCCGCTCCTCTCCCTTCAAGGAACAATTCAGATAATTTATAAATACATTAAATTCTACAGCATATTACCGGACCCTGATCAATGCTAATGTGCTTCATGCAATACAGCAAAGCTATCAAGCTTTAATGTATTTGAAAATGACGTCACTTGCTAGCAACTAGATAATAAATGTCCAAGGCCCCTCTAATATATGTTGCTCTTATTCGAGCTGTAATCACGCGCACACGTACACACACAAAAGCATCGGGCCACTATAATATATATTCACACATATATTAAACATACATAAGTATATAGTATACGCCGCCAGTCTCTGTCTCTTCCACTAATGAGCACTTCCTACCGTGAAATACACAGGGTAGTTCTCATTAAGGGAAGACTCATGAGGCTACTTCATCATAATAAGTAATCCCCTCCCGATTTCAGCAGCGTTAGCGTTTCACGGGGCCAATAAGTATGCATAGATGTTCACTGTGCAAGCACGTATGTATATATGCATGTTTTCATTATTTATGGTCCTAACACAACCTGGACGAACTTTCAACACACGCGCTACTGTTTACAGGAGCACAGAACCTTTACTAACATATACGGATGTTTGCATCCATATAAGCATATATTTTTACAAGCGCTAACACAACTACTTAAGACTAATCACTTCGTTGGTACCATGCTATTTCACGATTACGCGAATGCAAAAGAAAGATATTATAATACATCCCTATATTTCGGTCGCTGTGAAATTGAATAATAATATGATTGCGAAAACGGAAAGTTGTGATTTATAATGGCGTTCGTACAGGTGAATAATTATCAAATCAGCAACTTATCCTTGTGACAACAATGAATTAAGGAAGGCTTTTTGTAAAATATTAAAACATCCCTCTCAAAACACCACTGTTATAATTTTTGAATTACAAATGAAAGCAATAGCGTAATATTAAAAAAAAACTGATAATCAATCTGTTAAAAAAAATCAAAACTTTCCCCCTCTCTCGAACAACTGCATGTTTTCACTTTTCAGTGTACTACGTTCCACCGGACAAGTGACGTCACGGTACGACTGCCGGCGAGACACACGGAATTATGATTATATATAATTCAAGTTTATCATTATAACGTGGAGTATTTTATAATTATAATAAAAACTTTTTCCTGGTTCACTTTCGACAAAAAAAAAAAGGGCAGTGGTACCGTTTTAGTAATCGGATTAAAACATGAAAAGACTTTATTTTTATAGTATTACAGTTTATTACACACCTTAGTTGGTTTATTAAAACATGAATAGGCTGTATTTTTATAGTATTACAGTTTATTACATACCTTAGTTGGTTTATTAAAACATGAATAGGCTGTATTTTTATAGTATTACAGTTTATTACATACCTTAGTTGGTTTATTAAAACATGAATAGGCTGTATTTTTATGGTGTTTACAGTTTATTACATACCTTAGTTGGTTTATTAAAACATGAAAAGGCTGTATTTTTATAGTATTACAGTTTATTACATACATTAGTTGGTTTGTAGAGAGTGAATAACAACAAAATCTTTTGTTAATAAATGTTTCAAACTTTATCGATTATGGTAATACAGAGAGAAGTGGACCAACGACACCGTATAAAGCAAATGCATCCATTTCAAGTCACCAGCACAATAAAGAAAATTGTGCTTTATGCAACAACAACAATTACCAGAATTCGTGACGATATAGAAAGGTTTATATTTATTTTGAAAAGAAATTTGGGTTCATATATCTTCTAAGTTGAATTTCAAGCATGTACATGACCAATTTATAGTCTATGATATTTGCCAAGCCAGTGAATTCACTTTCAGTAAAAGCCAGTCATATACATATACGTCTATATATACAACACGTTTTCAAAAATGTACGGTTTAAAAGCACCTCATTGACGAAGTAGTGCAAATACCCTGTTTGAAGCAGCATTCTTTTTCCCAACCTACGAAATATGTTTACCTACTCTTTTATTTAATGTCATATAACGAATAGTTTTGACAGGCCATCAAACCGCTGAATGTGAAGCTTTCATACGTCGTGCCCTCAGCATTTTAAATTTCCTCTACAGACGAGTTTCAATTACTTGAATTAATTTTTTACTTCTATTCAACCCCCTACACACACGTACAGAGGCGTAGCCAAGGGGGCCCGCCCCTGAATAATCTAAGCATATTGATCACATAATATTTTTCGGCTTTTATATATAATAAACTCATTTTGTATCATTTAATAAAATAATAAAAACTCTATAAACATTATTACATTTGTTTTGATTTTTAAAGACAATTTTATTAAAAATGTAGATCAACTTCAGCTTTTTAATTTATTGCCCCCCTAAAATTCTCGCCTTCCCCCGAATGGAAAACATGGTACGTCACTGCACACGTATGTATACACACAACTGATTTTGTGTTTCATGACGAACATGTTTATCAGTAATTTATGTCATTAATAAGTTTGTATAGCAGAATTTACAAACAATATATTCTGATAGCTTCAAAAGCATGTTGCAGTATGTAATTTGGAACTTCATCTACCACTACGATTTAAAAAGCTGTTTACAGCACATGCTAGTTACATCAAAATCGCTTTTTTATTTTTTACTTTGTTAATATCTAATCTCTTATCGAGTTTTAAGGATATACACGATTATTTGTTCACATATGTACTATGCTACAGCTAAATCAGCATTTTACATAATGTGTCTGGGGGAAAAAAGAGTTTGGATGTATTTCAGTAAGTCTATTATACAAAAGCTTCGAATGAACATGTAATTTGTTTTGTTTCTTTCTACACCCGGAGAGCTTTCAATGGTATGCTCATTACAAAATTCATTTAGTTTAACAGGAAATAATAAGAATATCACGCCCCCCCCATCCACCCCAAAACACAACAACAATAATTTCTAAACGCCTAATTCTTGTTCTTTAAGTTTTCATTATCTCTTTAATACGAGATTGGCATAGTATGATAGCCTGGTGTTTAGGGTATTCGACTCCCAATCTACTGG